AAGACTGTTTCAAACACACCCAAATGCACACACACGCGCACACACACGCACGCACACACACGCGCACGACACACACACACACACACACACACACACACACACACACACATACACACACACACACACACACACACACACACATGGATACGTGTAAACGGACACACACTCACACAAACATATTTTATCAGAACATTCTGAAAAAATTAAGATTAAGAAAGAAAATGCCACACCTGCTTCGGCATGGCGACTGTTTGGACGCTGCTGCACTCTCCTCAGCAATCAGAAGGTGGCGCTGCGGCACTGTTAGCTTCTACGGCCTCTCCTGAAAATGAAGGTAAAACGTTAAGCATTTTTCTTCTCCTTCCTTCCTTCATTTCACTTCTATATATTCTAGTACTGTACATATGCACAGCTATGATAAAGCCTGAGCACCCACTACATGACCTAGTGCCCCCCCAACGGTCCACAGCTACAGGTAGATGCTTGCGGAACGACAGTGCCTTCACTGTGCCAAAAGCCAGGACTGAGCGACTGAAAAGGTCGTTTGTTCACTGTGCGGTAAAACTGTACCACGAGTCTGTTTCATAAGCTACCCCATGCTGTATCTGCATCCAATTTTGTTATCTTTAAGCTGTTTATTGTTCATTGATTGTATTGTATTGTATTATGTGTTTGATTATATTGTAACAAACTACCCACTTCAGGGAGACTTTTGTCTTTCCCTGCATATGTATGTTTGTGGTTGGAAAACCAATAAAGACGTTGTATATGGTAAGGGTTATTTCAACAGAGTGAAATAAGAATAGCATGAAGTGATCGAAGAAGACAGTTGGAAACCTTACCGCAGGTGAGATAGCACAGGTGAGTCAGAGAGTGGAGATGCACAGATGAGAAGAAGTCTTCAGGTGAGGAAATGGAGTTGGCAAAGTGCAGACAAGATGATACGGCAGTGGTGCTGCAGTACTGAATCTGATCGTTAGTAGGCGCTGCTCTACTGCAAACAGTGGTTTGACAATGACCCATGTCAACGCCTTTTTCTCATTTTATTAAGTTGCTGATACCAACTGGACATTGCTTTCTTTGGGGATAGAATGGAGAAACTAAGTTACGATATTCACCCAAACATTTGCTTGGAGAATAGTATTTTTGTTGCTTCACCTTCCGTGATTCTACTCTGAAAATGAAGGCTTCAGGCCGTGAGTTTTCACGAAGAATTGTAGAGAAGAGTACGAAGAGAGTGAGATACTAGATAGCGTTCAGCACCAAGGACAGACCTGATCCGTATGTATGGACAGTGTTCAGCTTATATAACTTCAACATGTTTCCGTTCAAAACGATGTTTTTTCGTGTTTGAAACATTGACCGAGTCATATGATGAGAGTGAAAAACTAACGTTAGATAGCGTTCAGCACCAAGGACATATCCGTTCCGTATGTATGGACAGTGTTCAGCATATATAACTTCAACATGTTTCCGTTCAAAACAATGTTTTTTACGTGTTTGAAACACTGACCGAGTCATATGATGAGAGTGATAAACTAACGTTAGATAGCGTTCAGCACCAAGGACATATCTGTTCTGTATGCAGGTCATCATATGTAACATGTTTCCGTTCAAAACTATGTTTGCTACATGTGTGAAACACTATGCCATGTGATGAGAGTGAAAAACTAACGTTAGATAGCGTTCAGCACCAAGGACAGGCCTGATCCGTATGTATGGACAGTGCTCAGCATATATAACAACGTTATGTACTTGGATCAGAAACGTTCAATGACAAACTGCTGTAGGGCAGACGCCTACAGGTAAGGTGTACAGTAAAGGTCAACATTGGGTCAGCTATGACCTCGTGACGTGTCCATGACGTCATAGTGACGTAAGGGCCAATCACGAACCTTCTCTTAACCAGTATTCGTTCACAGTTTCGTACAGGAATCCATAGAAGGCGAAATTTGTGGCTAATTATAACTATTTCATACTTCATTTCTTGTCCCAGAAAACGCTTTAATGAGATTAAGAAATGTACCAATGGTCGTCAATTAGCTCATTTAAGTCATTCATTCATTCATTCATTCATCCATTCATTCCCTCAACCATTAATTCCTATATCCATCCATTTTCTCACTTATTCAATCATTCCATATTTCATTCATTCCTTTATCCATCAATTCATTCCTTCGAAAATCCATCCTCTCATTCACATATTCATTTACTCATTTATTCATTTATTTACTGACCCACCCGTTGATGCACCCTTAACACTGGTAATTTTAACACATGGACGCAAACAGCGTAAGACCAAGACCAATGCAGACTACAAACACATGCGGATCATAAATTGCAAACGATGCTATGTTTTTAAGCCCTCATATGAAACTTGACCACGATATTCATACTTAGCATTTAGGTAATTACGCAGTTCGCCAGCTTGGCTAAACCATAACAATATTAGACATGCGTTTTTATTGAACATTTGTAACGTAGGTTGAAATGATAAACAAAGAAAGGACGCTCTCGTTGGTTTCTAGCTAGAAACTTTATTACTTGAAAATGTGGCGCCACAACGGAAGTACGTACATAATTTTATTTTTATTTTCATACAGAAAAAAAAACAGTGGGGGAATTATGTGTAAACCTCATAGATTTGTTCTTTTTTTATTCATTTATTATTTATCATTTTCAACAAGTTTCTTATACACACTGAAGCTATTCTAAGTAGGCTTTATCCAAAGAAGCATAGAATTACAGACAGAAGTGAACACGTTTATTTCAACAGAAGTGAAAGAACAATGTAGTGAAACAAATGGTTCCAGCGACACACTAGTCTACGGTAAACCGGAGACCACACTCTCATAACGAAACGTGGTGCTACGGTAAACCGGATGGGACATACACTGCGTTACATGGTTGTACGGTCTAGCCAGGGCAGTGTGTTTGTGTTGAGATGTAAGATATATTTACAGGCAGCTCCTTTCTGTTCTAGCCCAGCCTTTCACGTACCCCCGGCTGAATCCGTGTACAGCATGCATCTCCTCCTTCTCTCGCCAGGCTTCGCTTCTTTCTCCGTACTCACCAAAGAGTATAGACTAAAGACAGCCCGCCCGGTTTACAATCTTCCTGGCTAAAATCTTATTGTGCCCTCTATAAACTTTGCCAACCTGTGGTGGTCCGAATAAGACATGCCCTAGCTTATAAGAACGAAAAGTGTACATTTACAGAGACGCTGTGCTATAACTTCTTGCCGCCCTTTACTGCACCTTGACGGTACAATAGGCGCGGGCCTTGCCAAGGTCGTTCACAATCTCGATCTCGTATTTGCCGGCATCGCCTGCCTGTGCCTTCTCCACCCTAAAGGAGATAAAAAAAGGTACAGTTTGTAAATTTTTGTCGGTATATGTATCTCTAAATTCCATAAAAATACCAGAGCATTCCCTCTTGGCTTGTGGCGTTGGGGCAAAAGATGCATAATGTTTACTAGTAGTATAGCCTAATGGTCTAGCCTAACAACAAACTACTCTGTTTATTTTTACTCAAATAAATTAACATATAAATGTGGTAACCAGCCCTTCCAACCCCGTCCTGCCACTTGCTACATAATGTAACCCGACACCACAGGGTGTCTACTACAGCACCAGATCAGCTACTACATCACTAGGTGACAGCCGCCTAGCCCATGCCATTAACTTTAACAATACGTGTTCGGAGAAGAAGAAATAGAGCATGCTTTAACATGAAGGGACAGAGCAAAACAAGAATATGCTTTCCTTCTGCGAGCATTAACACAAACAAACAAACAAATAAACAAACAAACAAGCGCACCTGAGGATGGAGTAGTCTGGGGAGTCCTCGTAGCTGAAGCGGCCTCCCTCGTCGATCTCCTTCTTGCCCTTTGTCCAGATGACGTCAGGCTCGGGCTCGCCCGCGATCTCCACCTTGATCTCGAAGCTGTCCCCGGCCTTGACTGTGATGTTGTCAGGCTGCTTGGTGCACTTGGCCGGGACTGCACGGGGAAACAAAACGAGCAATACATTAGAAACTAAGAAGCATTTGCAAAGGATGCTTGTTTGCGCTCACACGGTCTAGCCAAACAAACTACTAGCACTGCTCAGTTCATTTTTACTCAAAAACCATTCATATACATGTATATGGTAACCAGCCCCTCTAATTCTGTCATAATGCAATCCAACACCAATTTGTCTGCTACAGCACCAATTACCATGGTGAGAGTACTCTAGTCCAGGTCATTGACCATATTTCTTAGGAACGGAAAGTAGAAACGGAGCCAAGACAGTACGTTTTCCTTCTGCGAATGACTTCGGGTTTGATATCTCGTGTTCTAGCTGGACATGCTAGGGTTATGGTTGTAGGGTGACAGGTAACTCTTGGCGACGTAAAGAAGTGGTGTAAGTTTAGGGCTACTAGCACCTTTAGGTTTAGATATTACAACAAGTTTAAATACATGTATAGGGCTGATATCGTACCTTCCAATGCCAGCCTGGCGCTGTCGAAGGCCTCCCCGAAGCTGTTGGTGGCCTGGCATGTGTAGGTGCCGACGTCATCACCGTCAGCGTTCCTGATGATGAGGAAGGTGCCGTCCTGTAACAGGGAACATGGTCCATCAGGTGGGCTTCATTTACATTAATATTATTATGATTTATTATCTGCTATTTTGGTTCATATGTCATCAAATTCCATCTTGTTTCAAAATCCAAATGCATAATGTTTACCTTCGCAAATGGTCTGCTCTGTTAATCCTTACTCAAACATATTCATATAACGTTATATGGTGACAGGAGTCTGAATCCCTCCTGCTATAAAATTGCCGCATGATGTAACCGAACACTAGTTACCATGGTAACAGACGTCTGGTTCAGGTCATTGGCAAACATGATAAACCAAAGCTAACCTTGTCGTCGACCTTGATCTCGTGCTTGCCCCCCCCCCAGTTACCATGGTGATAGACGTCTGGTTCAGGTCATTGACCTTCGGCAAACATAATAAAACCAAAGCTAACCTTGTCGTCGAACTTGATCTCGTGCTCCCCCCTAGTTACCATGGTGATAGACGTCTGGCTCAGGTCATTGACCTTCGGCAAACATAAGAAACCAAAGCTAACCTTGTCGTCGAACTTGATCTCGTGCTTGGGGCCCTCCTTGACCTCCTGGCCGTCCTTGAACCACTTGATGACGGGGTCGGGGATGCCCCAGACGCGCGCGAAGAAGGTGACTGCGCTGCCCTCCATCACGAACATGTCCTTCAACACCTGGGACAACAAACAGACAGACCGGTAGAACTCTAAGGAACTCTGATCATGATCAGCTT